CCGTGTAGGCCAAAATTCAAACTCACCTCACACACACACCTACTGAAAAATCTGGCCTTGCACACACACTACTGAAATACTCTCACATTCACTACTGAACCCTCACAAACACACACTACTGAACCACTGGCCTCACACACACACTACTGAAATCCTCTCACATTCACTACTGACTGAACACCTCACCACACACATACTGAATCCTCTCACATTCACTACTGAACACCTCACACACACACTACTGAATCCTCTCACATTCACTACTGAACACCTCACACACACACTACTGAAATCCTCTCACATTCACTACTGAACACCTCACCACACCCTACTGAAATCGTCTCACATTCACTACTGAACCCACACACACACTACTAAAATTAAGCCTCACACACACACTACTGAAATCCTCTCACATTCACTACTGAACACCTCACACACACACACTACTGAAAATTAACCTCACACACACACTCCTGAAAAACATTTTACTGAAAGGTTCTCAGTAGGGAATGTGCATGTGTTTCACCTATGTGTGTGTGAGGGGATTCTTGCTGTAACGGAAGTCATTCTTGCTGTAACGGAAGTCATTCTTGCTGTAACGGAAGTCATTCTAATGTAACGGAAGTCATTCTAATGTAACGGAAGTCATCTGCTAGTGGTCTCTTTGCTATCCCCGTTAGCTTCATTAGCTCCAGGCTGCTACTCGGACGTGTTTGTTGTGTGGAGTATTCTTCTTCATTGAAATATCGCACTTATCTTATGGCTCTGCGGTTCAAACAGACCGTCCATGAATGCAGTTTATTCGGTAAGTAAAATTCAAGCACTTTATTTCTTACTTGTCTTTTTATTCAGCTAACAAGCGAGACGAAGCTACATCTGTGCTAACGATGCTATCCGTAGCATACAAGTTAAAACATAATAGAGAAGTGTAAAACATTAAGAATGATTATACTGTAAAACATAAGGCTTCTCGGTGAGGTTGGTAAAATAAGGTCATGCTTGGTACATTAGTTAGTTTGCTAGTTAGGTAACTGTATGCATTGTTATTGTTAATTTAAAATAGCTATGCTCGACGATGCAGACAGCTAGCGTCACATTAGTGTTGAAGAGCAGAGTACTGTATGAGATTAACCCATAGATTAACCTCACTATAAGATCTGTGTATCTGACAAATATGAATCTCACATTTCCAGTTGGTTCCAGAAATAACGTTAACGTAGATATTGCAATATGGTTTGTTGTTTGTTACTTAGCATTTTATTATCATTACACTGGAGAAACCGACTTATTGTGGCAGCAGAACGTGAACATGTAACTTAATGCCTGCATTTGAGGACGAAAAATAGCTCAGTCAATGCTTTAGGGACAAGGAAATGATTTGTTTAAATATTAGATATGACGTTATGTGTGCTTCTGTGACAATGAAGCTTATTCATTGCATTACATTTGTTGAAGATGTTTGTCTTTTACCCTTACGTGTGTGTTACACATGAATGTGAATATGGCATAGGACAAATATTTAAATTGACTGTCATGAAAAACGATTCTGAAATAAAAAGGACCCCAACTATACAATAATACACAATCCAACTGATAAGATACAGTAAGGGCTTTGATATCCAGCACTTTTTTTTAAGGATAACAAAAAGATTATCACATGACATTTGCATGTAAAAAAAGTCTGTGACCAACACATTGTTACTTTAAAGTTTCCAGGTGATGCAGACAGACCAGAGGATGCTGACCACGAGAGACAGACCTATTCCTAACATCAGTGAACTTCAGCATGGACTCAAAGGTACAAAGACTCCTTTCATACTGTACAAAGAATCGAGAAACGTTCTGGTTTAAATAAAGTAACAACTATAATCAGCTTTCACATTTCAATGTATTTAAGGCAATTATTATTTTACATTGTGAGAATTGCTACCATTTGTCTTTACATATTGTCTGTAAAAGACGTGGTAAAAGTGGTTCTTGCAGTGAGACAACCGAGCAGTTGAATATTATTTAATAAGATATGTTAATGTTGATTAACTGCAGACTGTTCATTCATAATCTGATTATCTTTGTAGTACAAAGTGATGATTTAAAAAAACACATTAAAATTTTAAAAAATACATTATTTCTACAGCCGCTAAATAAACAAACCTCTTTTATAAATAACACACTTGCTCTGCAATAATGTCATGTTTCTTGTCATTTCTGTTAGGAAAGGACATACCTGAAGGACACAACTGCCTCACCGTTTTCTCAGAGGGGCAAGAAGAAAATGAAAAGCTGATTTCAGATTAAAGACCAATACAGGACATTCACTAAGAAACTACACTTTTATTGTGAACACAAAGTCAAACAGGACCATCATTTGTTTGTGACAGCTGAGCCCAGTATGTGCTCACAGATGCAGTTAGGGGGTTTTTCTTCATCAGGCCTGGGCCTCCTCCCAGAGAAAGACCTCTCCACCTCAGTCCTCTCCAGCCAAACCCACAGACAGGACATCCGTCATGCTGAGGTTTCTCCCAAAGTCTCTGCACGCTGTCTCAATTGATCCACACTGTGAATATGAGGGGGAAATGTGTGTCATAAATGCTTTAGACAATAAGAAAATATGAAGTTAACTGTAAGGAATGGCTCATTCTTTTTTAAATAGACAAAAACTATTACTGTATTTCAATATCTCACGTCTGAAAGTTTAATTTAAAAGAAGAAGAGGCCCCAAAAATAAAGATTGGTATATCAATAAATGTAGTTGATTTTGTCTTTTTAATTGTTTAAAGTAGATATAACTGGTACTTGAGAGTTTGAATACAGTCTGGTTGCGGAGGAGGCACACAGAGAGCATATAGCTACCATCACATGTAACTAAGCTTGACTTGAATTTATTAAAAGTATAATTAAGTAACAGCAACAAATCAATAACAAAAATCATGCAAAAATGTGAATCTTTGCTGGATCCACTGTTGAATTTACCACATATTGTATATTTTAGAAACCTTAAGGCATTTATAGATTTGTATGTATGTATTGTATGTATGGTGTATAATTCCCGGCCTGACATATTGTCCCAGTCCGGCCCTGGTCCTATGCCATATTCACATTCATGTGTAACACACACGTAAGGGTAAAAGACAAACATCTTCAACAAATGTAATGCAATGAATAAGCTTCATTGTCACAGAAGCACACATAACGTCATATCTAATATTTAAACAAATCATTTCCTTGTCCCTAAAGCATTGACTGAGCTATTTTTCGTCCTCAAATGCAGGCATTAAGTTACATGTTCACGTTCTGCTGCCACAATAAGTCGGTTTCTCCAGTGTTATGATAATAAAATGCTAAGTAAGTATTGGTAATAATATTAATAAAAACAACAACGTTTGGGTTCGTTCGTTTAATATGATGAACGTTAACCAGTAAGCTTCAATAATCAACTCCAGCTCAACAAACCATATTGCAATATCTACGTTAACGTTATTTCTGGAACCAACTGGAAATGTGAGATTCATATTTGTCAGATACACAGATCTTATAGTGAGGTTAATCTATGGGTTAATCTCATACAGTACTCTGCTCTTCAACACTAATGTAACGCTAGCTGTCTGCATCGTCGAGCATAGCTATTTTAAATTAACAATAACAATGCATACAGTTACCTAACTAGCAAACTAACTAATGTACAAGCATGACCTTATTTTACCAACCTCACCGAGAAGCCTTATGTTTTACAGTATAATCCTTCTTAATGTTTTACACTTCTCTATTATGTTTTAACTTGTATGCTACGGATAGCATCGTTAGCACAGATGTAGCTTCGTCTCGCTTGTTAGCTGAATAAAAAGACAAGTAAGAAATAAAGTGCTTGAATTTCACTTACCGAATAAACTGCATTCATGGACGGTCTGTTTGAACCGCAGAGCCATAAGATAAGTGCGATATTTCAATGAAGAATACTCCACCAGGCATCAACACAACAAACACGTCCGAGTAGCAGCCTGGAGCTAATGAAGCTAACGGGGCTAGCAAAGAGACCACCAGCAGATGACTTCCGTTACATTAGAATGACTTCCGTTACATTAGAATGACTTCCGTTACATTAGAATGACTTCCGTTACAGCAAGAATCCCCTCACACACACATAGGTGAAACACATGCACATTCCCTACTGAGAACCTTTCAGTAAAATGTTTTTCAGGAGTGTGTGTGTGTGAGGTTAATTTTCAGTAGTGTGTGTGCGAGGTGTTCAGTAGTGAATGTGAGAGGATTTCAATAGTGTGTGTATGACGTTAATTTTCAGTAGCGTGTGTGTGAGGTGTTCAGTAGTGAATGTGAGAGTATTTCAGTAGTATGTGTGCAAGGCCAGATGTTTTCAGTAGCGTGTGTGTGAGGTTAATTTTCAGTTGCGTGTGTGTGAGGTTCATTTTCACTAATATGTGTGAGGCTTAATTTTCAGTAGTGTGTGTGTGTGAGGTGTTCAGTAGTGAATGTGAGAGTATTTCAGTAGTGTGTGTGCAAGGCCAGATGTTTTCAGTAGTGTGTGTGCGAGGTAAGTTTGAATTTTGGCCTACACGGCCCTTCATACTCACACACTCTCCTCACACACTCCTCACACACACTCCTAACACACTCTCCTAACACACTCTCCTAACACACACTCCTCACACACTCTCCTCACCCTCTCCTCACACTCTCCTCACACACTCTCCTCACTCACTCTCCTCACACACACTCCTAACACACTCTCCTCACACACTCTCCTCACACACACTCCTAACACACACTCCTCACACACACTCCTAACACTCTCCTCCTCACACACACTCCTCACACACTCTCCTCACACACTCTCCTCACACACTCTCCTCACACACACTCCTCACACACTCTCCTCACACACAATTCTCACACACACTCCTCACACACTCTCCTCACACACTCTCCTCACACACTATCCTCACACACTCTCCTCACACACTCCTCACACACTCCTAACACACTCTCCTAACAGACTCTCCTAACACACTCTCCTCACCCTCTCCTCACACTCTCCTCACACACTCTCCTCACTCACTCTCCTCACACACACTCCTACACACTCTCCTCACACACTCTCCTCACACACACTCCTAACACACACTCCTCACACACACTCCTAACACTCTCTCCTCACACACACTCCTCACACACTCTCCTAACACACACTCTCCTAACACACACTCTCCTAACACACACTCCTCACACACACTCCTCACACACTCTCCTCACACACTCTCCTCACACACACTCCTCACACACTCTCCTCACACACACTCCTCACACACTCCTAACCAGAGATGGCAAAAGTACACACCTCCTTTACTCAAGTAGAAGTACAGATACTCGTGTTTAAAAATACTCTGGTAGAAGTAGAAGTACTGGCTAAACTTCTTTACTCAAGTCAAAGTAAAGAGGCTTTGAAATGTACTTCAGTAAAAAGTACCCATAACTAGCAGCTGTTTTAAAGAGTACCTGACCTCCCTTTATATTAATAGAACAATAATGTCATTGTTAGCTAATGAATGTTTCCATGCTGAACAACGGCAACATGACAACGTTTCCATTGGTCACACAAGTAAAACAGGAAACTAAGAGACTGTGACTACTAAAAAATAACAGAAAATAAACAAATCATGACAGAATACTGATACTATCCCTACTCAAAGAGCAAGTTCACTCAAAGGAAAACACACTAATGTTATTTAATAATGGCTCTACATGTCTGCTCGTGTGCTTCCTCCCGAGCAGCTGGGACATTGGGGAGTGGTCAGAATGCAGTACGACATGCGGGCTGGGCATGCAGCACCGGCAGGTTTTGTGTCGGCAGATTTACGCCAACCGGACCCTGAACGTTCACACGAGCCGCTGCGAACACTTAGAACGACCGGAGATCACCAGCAGCTGCCAGCTGAAGATCTGCAGTGAGTGGCAGGTCCGCTCAGAGTGGAGCGCGGTGAGACATGCTTTTACTGACTGTTTTATACCTGTTTACAGATCTATATATATTTATCACTTCTCCTTACGCATACATATTGTTTACATTACAGTTTATTGCAATTACTTCCTATCACTAATATATATATTTTATTTTATACATGTTATATTTGATAATTTTTTACTTCTGCGCTTATTTATATCTTGAAGGTCCCCTGGCCTATTATACTGTTTTTCATCAATATATCACAGGTCTCAGATTTATACAGAACCTGTCTCTGATTGGCTGAAACACCAAACAGATCATTGCAGCATTACCCATAATCCCCTCTGTTTCAGCCCTGTTTCAAAAGTGCTGATTCTCTATCTGTTACTTTAGATGAAAATAAGGAGCCCCTCCCCACGCCCCTCTGAGAGAGATTTGGTTAAAAAGAACTCAATGGTGCTCTAGGAGGGGATTCAGGTGATAAGGTGGGGGGGGGGGTTACCTTGGTTGCTGATTGGCTAATGGTTACACAAGACAAAAAAATCGTTATGACATCATAAAGTGGCCAAAATCTGATCAGCTCATTTTCAGACAGGTTTTTATAGAAATGGATCAGGACAAAAAGAGAGAGAATCTTTGTTCCTGAAAATGTCAGAGTCTCTTTCCACAGAGGGGACACATGTTGATGTAGAAGAGACATGAAGAAGAGGGGACACATGTTGATGTAGAAGAGACATGGAGAAGAGGGGACACATGTTGATGTAGAAGAGACATGAAGAAGAGGGGACACATGTTGATGTAGAAGAGACGTGAAGAAGAGGGGACACATGTTGATGTAGAAGAGACATGAAGAAGAGGGGACACATGTTGATGTAGAAGAGACATGAAGAAGAGGGGACACATGCTGATGTAGAAGAGACATGAAGAAGAGGGGACACATGCTGATGTAGAAGAGACATGAAGAAGAGGGGACACATGCTGATGTAGAAGAGACATGAAGAAGAGGGGACACATGTTGATGTAGAAGAGACATGAAGAAGAGGGGACACATGTTGATGTAGAAGAGACATGAAGAAGAGGGGACACATGTAGAAGAGACATGAAGAAGAGGGGACACATGTTGATGTAGAAGAGACATGAAGAAGAGAGCACACATGTTGATGTAGAAGAGACATGAAGAAGAGGGGACACATGTTGATGTAGAAGAGACATGAAGAAGAGGGGACACATGTTGATGTAGAAGAGACATGAAGAAGAGGGGACACATGTAGATGTAGAAGAGACATGAAGAAGAGGGGACACATGTTGATGTAGAAGAGACATGAAGAAGAGAGGACACATGTTGATGTAGAAGAGACATGAAGAAGAGGGGACACATGTTGATGTAGAAGAGACATGAAGAAGTGGGGACACATGTTGATGTAGAAGAGACATGAAGAAGTGGGGACACATGTTGATGTAGAAGAGACATGAAGAAGTGGGGACACATGTTGATGTAGAAGAGACATGAAGAAGTGGGGACACATGTTGATGTAGAAGAGACATGAAGAAGAGGGGACACATGTAGATGTAGAAGAGACATGAAGAAGAGGGGACACATGTTGATGTAGAAGAGACATGAAGAAGAGAGGACACATGTTGATGTAGAAGAGACATGAAGAAGAGGGGACACATGTTGATGTAGAAGAGACATGAAGAAGAGGGGACACATGTTGATGTAGAAGAGACATGAAGAAGAGGGGACACATGTAGAAGAGACATGAAGAAGAGGGGACACATGTTGATGTAGAAGAGACATGAAGAAGAGGGGACACAGGTTGATGTAGAAGAGACATGAAGAAGAGGGGACACATGTTGATGTAGAAAAGACATGAAGAAGAGGGGACACATGTTGATGTAGAAAAGACATGAAGAAGAGGGGACACATGTTGATGTAGAAAAGACATGAAGAAGAGGGGACACATGTTGATGTAGAAAATACATGAAGAAGAGGGGACACATGTTGATGTAGAAAATACATGAAGAAGAGGGGACACATGTTGATGTGGAAAATACATGAAGAAGAGGGGACACATGTTGATGTAGAAAATACATGAAGAAGAGGGGACACATGTTGATGTAGAAAATACATGAAGAAGAGGGGACACATGTTGATGTAGAAAATACATGAAGAAGAGGGGACACATGTTGATGTCGAAGAGACATGAAGAAGAGGGGACACATGTTGATTTAGAAGAGACATGAAGAAGAGGGGACACATGTTGATGTAGAAGAGACATGAAGAAGAGGGGACACATGTTGATGTAGAAGAGACATGAAGAAGAGGGGACACATGTTGATGTAGAAAATACATGAAGAAGAGGGGACACATGTTGATGTAGAAGAGACATGAAGAAGAGGGGACACATGTTGATGTAGAAAAGACATGAAGAAGAGGGGACACATGTTGATGTCGAAGAGACATGAAGAAGAGGGGACACATGTTGATTTAGAAGAGACATGAAGAAGTGGATTTTACATAATAGGTGACCTTTAAAGAAACACAGTTGCCTTTAACAAAGAGGAGCAGTCACATCCCTCCACAGTGCTGACCCTGTGTCCTGTGTCTCTCAGTGCTCGGTGCCCTGTGGTCTGGGTCAGAGGTCACGAGAGGTGCGCTGTGTCAGCAACGTGGGCGACTTTGTTCCTGACGAGGAGTGCAACATGAATCTGAGGCCGTTCGATGTGGAGAACTGCGACATGGGGTCCTGCGCCAAGAGCTGGTTCTACACCGAGTGGGGGAACAGGGTGGGTCTCACTTTGATTCACTTCCAATAACAGTGGCAGTCATTTTATAGATGTGTCTTTGGCAGAGAAGGCAAAAGCACACACATCCTTTACTCAGGTAGAAGTACAGATACTCGTGTTTAAAAATACTCTGGTAAAAGTAGAAGTACTGACTAAACTTCTTTACTCAAGTCAAAGTAAAGAGGGCTTTGAAATGTACTTCAGTAAAAAGTACCCATAACTCCCAGCTGTTTTAAAGAGTACCTGACCTCCCTTTATATTAATAGAACAATAATGTCATTGTTAGCTAATGAATGTTTCCATGCTGAACAACGGCAACATGACAACGTTTCCATTGGTCCCTCTTCTTTAGAGAAGACCAGGAAATGATGGATACACGGATCGTGTTCAAATCAATAGGCACGCAATGACTCTAAAGAATAATGATCACGCATCAAACACACATTCAGACTAAAGGAACCAGCTGTTTGGGAAATGAGAGAAGTAGAAAGTACAGGTATTTGTGTTCAACATGTAAGAAGTAGAAAGTACAGGTATTTGAGTTCAACATGTAAGAAGTAGAAAGTACAGGTATTTGTGTTCAACATGTAAGAAGTAGAAAGTACAGGTATTTGAGTTCAACATGTAAGAAGTAGAAAGTACAGGTATTTGAGTTCAACATGTAAGAAGTAGAAAGTACAGGTATTTGTGTTCAACATGTAAGAAGTAGAAAGTACAGGTATTTGTGTTCAACATGTAAGAAGTAGAAAGTACAGGTATTTGAGTTCAACATGTAAGAAGTAGAAAGTACAGGTATTTGTGTTCAACATGTAAGAAGTAGAAAGTACAGGTATTTGAGTTCAACATGTAAGAAGTAGAAAGTACAGGTATTTGAGTTCAACATGTAAGAAGTAGAAAGTACAGGTATTTGTGTTCAACATGTAAGAAGTAGAAAGTACAGGTATTTGAGTTCAACATGTAAGAAGTAGAAAGTACAGGTATTTGAGTTCAACATGTAAGAAGTAGAAAGTACAGGTATTTGTGTTCAACATGTAAGAAGTAGAAAGTACAGGTATTTGTGTTCAACATGTAAGAAGTAGAAAGTACAGGTATTTGAGTTCAACATGTAAGAAGTAGAAAGTACAGGTATTTGTGTTCAACATGTAAGAAGTAGAAAGTACAGGTATTTGAGTTCAACATGTAAGAAGTAGAAAGTACAGGTATTTGTGTTCAAAATGTAAGAAGCCAAAGTAAAAAGTCATCAGAAAAATAAGTAGTTGAGTAAAGCACTGATACCAGAGAAATGTACTTGTACAGTAACAAAGTATTTGTACTGCACTACTTCCCACCTCTGGTCTTTATGCATCCAAGATCTGTCTTTCAATCAGGATATTATATATATGTTTTTAATATAGATTCTGACAACCACAAAGACAACACATGTAGATTAATATTCGCTGAATAGAGTGCCTTTGTCCCAAGTGACAAGTATGAACATACAAGAACTATTTGGCTAGAATATAAACATTGTGACATTGATGTAGATGCATGGAAAGACATTTATTCAACTTAAATAAAATAAATGCTCACATTATCATTTACAGTTACTATTATATGCCATGTTTTGAGAGGGAAAATTAGATACCATGATGATACCAATATTTATCGTTGGAAATCAGGCAAAACTGAAACTCAGTAATTCTGTATATATTGTAATACTGTATTGTATTTCAGTTTTGTCGCTTTTACTCGACAAAACGTACTTACTGATATACAGAGAACTCTCTGCTCCGTAGCCTCTCTTGGATTTATAATCTCACTGTACATTTGACATTTATTTCACTGACCTCACCACCTTCACAAAACTTACAAAAACTCACCTCTTCAATCTGGCTTTTAATGTGTGATTGTTTTTGTATTGCTTGATTTTAATTTGACTTTAACTATATATATTTGTTATTCTTTTCATCTTTGTAAAGCGACTTTGAGCACCTGTAAAAGCGCTAACAAAATAAATCTATTATTATTATTATTATTTATATATCCAGTTTAATATTTAATATTCCATCTCTCACATACTTATGTATATATAATAACTTGATTTATTTTTGTTAATTTGTAAATTCAACATGTATATTTTCTACTTTCTTGTTTATTTCTAGTCTTTTAAATGTGTATTGTAATGCCATGTCTTTTAAGCTGCTGCAACACAAACAAATCCCAATTTGGGATCAATAATCTTATTTGACCTTATCTTATAACTCATGCAAATGTGAGCTGCTCTTACTGAAACAGCTGTCTGAAGGCAGTGTACCTCAACACAAATACAAAGTGATGTGCTGAAATTGAAATACAAGTTTAAAAAAGTGAAAGAAATCAAATCAACGCATGAATTGTTCTCCACAGTGCTCGGCTGAGTGTGGGATGGGTGTTCGGACGCGAGGAGTTCTCTGCCTCACGAACCACGTCAGCGGTCTCCCTCTGGAGGGCTGCGGCAGCGAGAGACCCCAAAACTCTCAGGTCTGCAACAGCGGAGCTTGTGAGAACCGCATCGAGTGGTTCACGGGCCCCTGGAGCCAGGTAGGAGGGAGAGATTCAAAGATTCAAAGGCTTTTTTGTCATTACAGTACAGTGTAGATATGCCAATGAGAATCTGAAGTCCCAGGCTCCACCAACAATGCAATATAGATACAGTGTTTCCCCTAGGATGGAGTCATAGCAGCGGTGCTAAGGCACGTGGGCCCAGCATAATGTGAGCGCGGAGCGCATGGATTTTTTTTGTGTGTTTGCGTGCGAAGTGCGCCCCGCCAATTTGTTTCTATGTGTCTGCCAGCACAAGAAAGGCTCTTGAGGCCTAGTACCAGGGCCGGTTCTAGAGAATTTGCTGCTCTAGGTGAGATTTTATATATAAAGAATAAATGAAAAATCTCTACAAAAGACAAATACACTACAAAAACAGAAACGTATTGACATAGGTAATATACGTCAAAATGGCTTCAAATGTATTCAGTATTGTATGAACATGTTTTAATTGGGGGGTGGACGTCACATCCTCTAGGGGGGTCCGGGGGTATGCCCCCCCCCCTGGAAGATTTCTTTGAACATTTTAAAGTCAAATGCTTCAATCTGGTGCACTTTGAGCACACAATTACTAGAGACCTGATCTAGGTGGTACAACTCTAAAACACCCATATGACAAAGATCGGTTTACATTTTAATTAAATAAGTATGTGAACATAACCAATATTTTATTTTTGTTGTTCATTCATATCTTATTTTACCTAGTTAACATGTATTTATTTTTGCATATTTTTGTATCTCTCCAACTTTAAACGATATTTTTGGTTTACTGTCCTATAGTATACATTGGAATGATTTCAAACCTGTTTTTATTTATCCTAATAATTTTAAAGGAGTGCCTTTACGTGTTTACATAATTTGTAAACACATATTTGTTTGAGACCCACTGAGATAACTTAGACTAAAAAACCATCACCCCCACAACACACTCCACTCTCACCAACGGTCTCTCAGAAATAAAAGCATGGATGCAAACAAACTATCTCCAACTGAACAGTGCCAAATCAGACATCATCATCATCGGCCCCCCATCCCGTACCAAAACCATCCAGAATGTCAACTTCACCATTGACAGCAATCCTCTATTCCCCCCCCCCTCACATCCGCAACCTCGGAGTCAACTTCGACAGTCAGCTCAAATTCAACCACCACATCAATCAAATCACCAGGACCGCCTTTTTCCACCTCAAAAACATTGCCCGTCTCCGCCCATCACTCTCCTCCTCTGCTGCTGAAACCCTGATTCATGCATTCATCACATCACGACTCGACTACTGCAATAGCATCCTCTACGGCAGTGTTTCTCAAACTTTTTCATACCAAGGACCACTTAACCAATAAAAAAACACTCGCGGACCACCTAACTCCACAAATATCCCAAAACACATCGTTCTTCTAGAACAGATTATAAATCGCCTGGAAATTGTACAAACAAGTGGCAACATGTGTGACGAAGGTGTTGCCCTGGGCTTTATCGTGCAATAGAAACTTAAGCTCGTTCCATTGCGGAGATATTCCCGCGAGAGTGCGGAAAACTTAAATGTATTTATTTATTTCAAATGTGAAATGTTACCAATATACTCACGGACCACTAGGGGGCGCTCACGGACCACCAGTGGTCCGCGGACCACACTTTGAGAAGCACTGCTCTACTGCATACCATCCAACCTCCTCAATAAACTCCAACATATCCAGAACTCTGCTGCCCGCCTCCTCACCCACACCCGCTCCCGAGACCACATCACTCCTGTCCTCCAGAAACTCCACTGGTCCCCGTCCGTCAAAGAATCAACTTCAAAGTCCTCCTCATTACTCACAAAGCCCTCAACAATCAGGCCCCCCCCTACCTCACAGACCTGCTGTACCACCACGCCCCTTCCCACTGCCTCCGCTCATCAGAAGCCAACCTCCTATCCATCCCCACCCGCACCAATCACCGGACCTGAGGGGACAGAGCCTTCTCCGTCGCTGCCTCTGGAACTCACTCCCACAACCCATCAGAGACTGCACTGACCTCACCACCTTCAAAAAACTCACCTCTTCAATCTGGCTTTTAATGTGTGATTGTTTTTGTATTATTTGACTTTAACTTTAACTATATATTTATTTGTTGTTCCTTCCTTTTCTCTTCACTATATCTGTAAAGCGTCTTTGAGCACCTGTCAAAGCGCTAACAAATTAAATCTATTATTATTATTATTATTAAATTAACTATCTAAACACTCAGTCCTTTACCTCACTGAGCCTCTCAGTCTGACAGGAGAGCTCTCCTCCACCCTGGTTGTAGAAAAATATCTACTTCTTATATCCGTTAGCGCAGCTAGCACCAGATTCTAATAACAACAGCGCCGGTACCGGTGCGCCCTCTCTCTCTCTCTCCCTCGCTCGCTCCCACGCTCGCACTTTGGCTGTGAGCTGCGGGCGTCAGATAAGCCAACATCCCTGAAAACATCATCACTTACAGCGCCCATCGTACGGGGCAAATGAAAAGTGTAGCCGGGGTGAAAAGGGTGTTACATTTACTTAATTATGAATGTTGTTACATCAAGGCCAACAATTAGGATGAGCGCCAACGGTCAAAAATGTTTTTTCCCCTCCCAGAGCTACCAGCGCAGCTCCCCCCAGATCTGGCGCCCTAGGCGACCGCATATGTCGCCTATGCCAAAAAATCGGCCCTGCCAGTACATACAGTGGCAATGTCTCGAGATTTAGCAAAAATACACCTTTATTGAACAGACAGTAACACAAATACTACAAATCCACATAACAAACAATCAAAAATGAAAAAGGCTCTCCAATAGCCGCCGCTATTTGTATATAGGCGAAACACTGAGATATATACACTGAACAAAAATATAAATGCAACACTTTTGTTTTTGCTCCCATTTTTCATGAGATGAACTCAAAGATCTAAAACATTTTCTATATACACAAAATAACAATTTCTCTCAAATATTGTTCACAAATCTGAAAAAATCTGTGATAGTGAGCACTTCTCCTTTGCCGAGATAATCCATCCCACCTCACAGGTGTGGCATATCAAGATGCTGATTAGACAGCATGATTATTGCACAGGTGTGCCTTAGGCTGGCCACAATAAAAGGCCACTCTGAAACGTGCAGTTTTGCTTTATTTGGGGGGGTCTGGGGGGGTCCGAAAACCAGTCAAACGCCTTTGGAGACGGCTTATGGTAGAGAAATGAACATTCAATTCACGGGCAACAGCTCTGGTGGACATTCCTGCTGTCAGCATGCCAATTGCACGCTCCCTCAAAACCTGCAACATCTGAGGCATTGTGCTGTGTGATAAAACTGAACATTTCAGAGTGGCCTTTTATTGTGGCCAGCCTAAGGCACACCTGTGCAATAATCATGCTGTCTAATCAGCATCTTGATATGCCACACCTGTGAGGTGGGATGGATTATCTCGGCAAAGGAGAAGTGCTCACTATCACAGATTTCAGATTTGTGAACAATATTTGAGAGAAATGGTTATTTTGTGTATATAGAAAATGTTTTAGATCTTTGAGTTCATCTCATGAAAAATGGGAGCAAAAACAAAAGTGTTGCATTTGTATTTTTGTTCAGTGTATATAAGACATAACATGATGAAGCAATTTGACAAAAACTATGAACATAGTGCAAGAGGAAACAAGAGAAATAGACCAATGTGCAAGTAATGCAGATTAAGTAAATCAAATCAAGTTTTATTCATACAGCACATTTAAAAACGATTTTTAGTCGAGCCAAAGGGCTGTACATGTAATAAAAACACATTACTACAATCACAATAAAAGACAATAATTTACAACAGAAATATAAAAAACAAAAACACAGGGAATAGTCAGGTGTCATACTCCGCTCTGACTAAAAGGCCAGAGAGAAGAAGTGTGTTTTTAGTGAGGATTTAAAAACCTCTAGGGTCTGGGCCGACCTCACATGGAGGGGCAGAGTGTTCCAGAGCCTTAAGGTCTGCTAACCAGCAGCAGCTCCAGCTCTGGCTGGGGTGTAGCGCTGGAGGAGTTCAGCTAAATAGGCCGGAGCCAGCCCATTTAGGGCTTTTAAAACAAATCAAAGGATTTTAAAATCAATTCGGAACCGAATTGGAAGCCAGTGCAATGAGGCCAGAATTGAGGTGATGTGGTCACGCTTTTTGTGGCCAGTGTGAAGACGTGCAGCTGCGTTCCGCACTAGCTGCAGGCGTCTAATTGAGGCCTGGTCCATACCCACGTACAGAGCGTTGCAGTAGTCCAGTCTTGAGGTAACAAACGCATTAATAACCCTTTCTTTAAAAGATAAATACGACTTGGTTTTGGCCAATAGTCGTATTTAAAAAAAAGAAGAAAAAAAAGCAGGATTTGACTACGCTGCTGACTGTGTAAACTCCATACATGTCAAAATAAATCAATACAATAAGCTAAATGTGCAGAGAATGTTGTCAGTGACCAAGTAAATACAGGAGTCTCCTGTATTTACTTGTAAATAGAATATGATAGACCAGATCAGAATGTAAAATGAAATACAGGTGGTTGCACTGGGTTTATCTGGGACTTTATATTTACATGATATTGTCTGATTGTGTTATTGACTCGTGTGTGTGTGTGTGTGTGTGTGTGTGTGTGTGTGTGTGTGTGTGTGTGTGTGTGTGTGTGTGTGTGTGTGTGTGTGTGTGTGTGTGTGTGTGTGTGTGTGTGTGTGTGTGTGTGTGTGTGTGTGTGTGTGTGTGTGTGTGTGTGTGTGTGTGTGTGTGTGTGTGTGTGTGTGTGTGTGTGTGTGTGTGTGTGTAGTGCTCAGCAGAGTGCGGTGCGGGCAGCCATCAGAGGGCCGTGGTGTGTTTGATGAAGTCGGAGGAAGGACTCTCCGTCGTTCCTCCGTACGAGTGCTCCTCTCTGGACCGACCCCTCGGCCAGCAGAGCTGCACCCTGAAGGCCTGCGGGGCAAAGTGGTTCCACACGGACTGGAGCGCTGTGAGTGACTTTTGAACCCTCTCCACTTTAATCCAATCTACTCCCTACTGCTCCTAATGACTGATCAATGGCCAGGGTTGATGATGTTGGTAGCAACCCTAATCCAGGGGTGTCCAAACTTTTTTCACCGAGGGCCACATACAGAAAAATATACGAAGGGTTTGGCGACTCACTAGAGGTAGCCTATATCGTGTCATAAGTGAAGTTATAAGTTAGCAAAATCAATCAAATGTAGGTAAGTGATGCTTGTGAGTGTTGGCAGCTCATAAAACAGAAGCATCAGAGTTATTATAATAAGGAGAAATATGAAGGGTGTATTTCAAGCTTGTTAGGTAAATAAGTCATTGGGCTTTTTTCTTATCAACTAAGATATGGTAGAAAATGTTTCCAACTTTAATTGACTGAATTTATTTGAAAAATGGGCTTATTAACACATGAATACTACGGTGTAATATATGTTTACATTCATATTTAAGAAGTACAATATAAGACAAGCACAAGTTTCATTCGTGGGCCGTATTCCATTTGACTTTTTTAATTAGCTGAGGGCCGATTCAAAATGGTCCCCGGGCCGCATTTGGCCCCCGGACCGTAGTCTTGACACCCCTGCTCTAGAAAGTAGATTTAACAGTAGACAAAGCTTCATGGTTTGGTTTTATGAACCTTTGACTGACTGCTGTCTCCGACCCGTGTTTCTTCCAGTGTTCAAAAACCTGTGAGGGCGGTTTCCGTGTGCGGGAGGTTCGCTGCCTGTCGGACGACTCGCTGCCGAGCGACGCCTGTGATCAGAAACTGAAACCTGGAGGGAGAGAGGACTGCAGCCCGGAGCCCTGCACCCCAAACATAGGTCAGTCCTCTCTCCATCTGAAATGTTACTGAGTTTTTAATTTGATGTAATGCTACTACTGAGTGAACTAGAACATCTATAACATTCATCCGTCTGCAACTAATTATTTATCTAATATATCATATTCCAATTACTTGTATATCGACTCTTATGGCACTACTTATATTCTATTTTATTGTGTTTACTTGCACTATTTTATCTGTTTTATTGTGTTGCACTGTTGGAGCCTGTGACCTAAGATTGTCATCGTCATGACTACACTGTAGCTATGTACGCATGACAATAAAAGCCTTGAATCTTGATTGAGCAAGGTTTCAAAACCCAAACTGTTAGTTAGTAGAAGTCCGAGCAGCACTGGTTCCTTTACACAAGTAAACATATTAATACAGTGTACAATACTCTTCATTTAAACATTCACTTAAGTTAAAGTACAAACATATTAGCATCATAATGTACAAAAACTCAAATGCTCAATCTGCACGGACCATTAGAGAACAATTTATATTATTCAATCATAGGAATGTGAGCGAAGTGCATCCAAATTAAGTAGATAAATAACAAGTATTTTAAAAAAAGAGCTGGTTAAGGAGGATCCTTTATTTTTATTTGACAATAACTATAAGTTGTAGCTTGTGATTTTCACCAAAAGCCCAATAAAGTCAAGCTTAATAAACATGATAAAGAATGTGTTGTTTATATTTCGTATTAATAATCTGAATCTTCATAAAGTCATCAAATCAATGAAGTAAAAAGAACAATGGTTGGAATAGAAGTACAAAGGACCGAAGTTGTACTTAAGTATAGTACTTGAATTAAGTTACTATCCAGTACTTTATATACTGTATGGTTTAATTATTTCATACATCTAATAAAAACAAGTACTTCAACTGTAACGTGAATAATAGCAAGAAAAAAGTACTTAAAAAATGAATACAGAATTTGAGTAATAGTAGTCACTTTCCGCCACAGGTCCAGTTCTTTAAATATGGTTGAAATGATTTCATGCAGCTCCCGGGCTTAACAGGTTCAAATATGGGGCCCTTTTTTCAAATGTGTTAAGAAGATCATTCCTGATGAAACGTTTGCATTTTGGAGGGGTCCCAACACTGGACGGGTTGTCGCGGGTGTCAGGGAATAATTCTGTATACATGTTTACCTTTCGCCCTCTGACGCAGCTGACCAACCTTGAGCAGCCGTTATCTCCCCAAGTTGTTGTTGTTACCAGTTTGTGAGCGGGCAACTCTCGGTCAGAGATAGTTATTGTTGTGGGACACCTGGAACACATCCTTCTCGGGGTGTAGACGACCTCGAGCCGTAAGCGACAACAACTGTGATCCAGTGTCCTCAGCTGTTTGGTCTATCTATTGAAGAATGTTGATTATTACACTCTGAACTAGTTAAAACCTGGAGCTACAGGAGGGTCTTCAGAATTGATTGTGGCATCTCAACCGTGTGGTCAGACCGTGGCCCGTGACATGTCGTGTGAATTCTCCGGCCGAAGCTCCAAATAAACCGTCAGTGTTTGCCATCAAAGCTCCAGCTCTCCATCGTGTCTCTTTGAGTCCTGACTCCAATTGCTTCAGAAGTTTCCCCCACAGCAGGGAGGCGGTTTATTATTGACGTTTTTGTTTTAGCTGACTGGTTTTCTATGTATTTATTTGTATATTTGTTGTATGTCTGTGTGTCTTCTGTCTGTATGGGATTTAGTTTGCCCTGGCAGTATTTACATTGTTACTCTATCTATTTTTCTATGAAGTGAAGATTTGTTGACCTACTTTTGATACATGCTCTGATGTACGCTGTTGAAAAAACCCAATAAACAATCAAGTGTTCCCTCTGTTTCAGATGAGAACTGCAGAGATAAGTACTTCAACTGTAACGTGGTGGTCCAGGCTCGGCTCTGCGTCTACGATTACTACAAAACCTCCTGCTGTGCGTCCTGTACCCGAGTCGCCGAAAAACAAAAACAGTCCGTCCAGAGGAGCCGCAGCTAACCCCCCCCGGACCCTGGCTTCAATGGACGCTTGTTTTGACGGCCAGGGAAGGAAACTGAAGACTTTAAGTGGGTTCGTTTGGAGTATTGATGTCACGTACGAGAACGATCCGATTCTTTTGAACTTCTCTTTGGTCCGAACGAAGAGAACCGAGTCGTACTTGGTGTGAGCCGTTCTTTTTATCGTTGGTTCACTGCCTGCCATAAATCCACTCGCCTTCACAGGAACTTGCTTTCCTGAATGCAAATGTTCCATAGATGATGGCATAGCGCATGCTGCTTGAGTAGTAGTTTGGCTGGCTGCAGCAAGTTATACATTTTTCTGTGAGCAAAAGTAGATTTCTGGCAATACAGTCAATCATTATGATGGTGATTATTTAGCAGATAAACCTATTAACCCCGCCGTCTTAAAAAAAAAACACGTCTCTTTTGAACGGCTCTGGGAAAGGAACGGAGCCAATTCCCATCACTAGTTTGGAGAAAGCTGAAGATAGTGGAGGACAGGAATCCACTCACTGGACAAAAAGACATCTGGAGACGGGACAGAGACTATCAGCGGACAGAGGAACATACAAGACACCTTTTAAAATGGATTTTAACCACAAAGACAATCCGTTTTTGTTTCAAGATATTTGCAGTCCACTTCCACCAATGATGGCTGCTATGGATTACATGATATGAAGAGGACAGCGCCTGTAAACTGTTTAAAGTGGACGATATTGAGAAAGTGTATATGTTCTGATGTGTTTTTGTACTCTTCAATGGTCAGATTTATGGACGAATGTCACATGAAGTCGATGCGGTTTCACCTTTTTCAACTTTTTGACACTTTGACCAAAGATTTGTAACCAGAGCTGCAGCTGAAGATTATTGTCATATTGATTAATCTATCAATTGTTTTGTCTATATACTGTCAGAAAGAGTGAAAAATGCCCATCCCAGTTTTTAAAAAGTCCAAAACCCAAAGAGATGTACTTTAATAAGATATAAAACAGAGAAAACCAGAACATCTTTATATTTGAGAGGCTGAAAAACGTACTTTTCTGCAATTGTTTGCATAAAAAATAACTAGCGGTTATAAAAAACAGTATTCTTTTTTAACAAAGACACATTTACTATTTTTCTTGAAAAACAAATGCAGTGCATCCTCCCTGGACCTGATGCAGTTTCCTTTATCCAGAAAATATCTTTGTGGCATAGATTTCTGACGCCTACGAAGAAGCAAACCACTTTTCCCCCTATAGGCCAGGAGGTGTAACTGCAGCCTGTTTAATAATCGTGTATGACGGAGTGAATGATAAAGGTCCTCCAGCAACTGAAGAGAAGAAGCCCCTCTTTAGTTATTTATTTGAGTGGTTCCCATGGAGACGAGTGCTTTATCGGCCCACGCTGGCCTCTCATTGGCTGTGGGGATAAAACATTGCCTCTCCACCAATCACAGCCTTTGAACTGAATTCAAGCTGCTGGATGGGATAAGCAGATGTTGAAAAACCTAAATATGATTAGGCAAATGTTAAAAGTGCATGTATATACATATATTTTCTGTGGGAGATGATCATTCCACACGTGTACGATAGATCACCAATGTTAAAAAAGTATAATAATATTTGATTGTACAGATGACAGTATTTTACAGCTATTGATCTGTGTGGCGAATATGAGGTTCAATCAGTTTCAGACACGACCTGCACACAGTACCTCTCAAGTGTTTCTTTTGTACTATATGTAATCATTTCCCTCCATGCACTATAAACTGATCTCTGATCAGAAGTACTGTATGTGTATCAATGTACAGCATGACTCAAGTATTACAATTAATTCAATCTCTAAAGGTAGAAAATGTGCCAGCATGACGGGATTATTCTGGATTTCCCCCAAAACGATCAGATTAGATATAAAATGCCAGGGTGTTTCAGTATTCAGTAGCTCATTAAACTTCTGTATGTGCCTTATTTTACATGTCTAGTGTTCAACAGTTGATCTTCACAAGGATTGCTCTTCTGAAATAAACAAAATACTAATTATGTGTACACTTTACAGCATAGTGGTGTGATTTCTACATTGATGCGGCTTTGCTCAGATGCATATTTAAGACTGTCACATATTGACAGTTACTTTTTATATCAGTCATTTCTATTAAAAAGCAGTGCTTAACTTAAAGGCGACCTATCATGCAAAATGCACTTGTTTATGTCTTTTATACATAACTATGTGTCCCCGGTGTGTCGGTGAACTCACGCAGCATCAGAAAGTAAAACCCTCTCTCTTTTCCTCCGTACCCAAATCTCTAAAAACGGGGCTACAACGGAGCTGATCCAGATTTGCGTCCAATATGACGTAATATCTGAAATGTGGACCCACGGCCCAATCAGAAACGTTGCTAACAGAAACAATGCCCGACTGTTTTGGACGTAATATGGTCGGTGTTTACATTAGCATCGCTAACACTCAGAGCTAACCTGTACTGGAGAGCATGTGTGTGAAGAAGCAGGAAATAAAAAGGAACTCACCTTGTGGTATAACCGGCAAGAGAGAAAGCCTTTGAGCTCCAAACTGTTTCATAGATAATCCCTGATAATCCATGATATGGCGTTTCATCACGGCAGTATTTAGTTAGACAGTAGCTGCCGGGTCCCGCATGAGCTCAGCCCCCTCCTTTTTATTTTGTATCAACATTTTTTTTTTTTTTAAAGCTTCATACCCCAAATCAGCACTTTTGAAACAGGAAGTGAAATAGAGGGATATGAGGCATGGCTAGAATGGGTGATCTGTTTGGTATTTTGAGCAAAACACTTCATAGACATGTTTTTTATATATTTGTATATATCTGAGACCCATGCTATTGCCTAAATATAGCATGATAGGTGACCTTTAAAGGATAAATGTCAAGTAATAGAGTTTCTGTTTGTAAATGCTTTGTGTCTACTAGACTGTCATTCTTTATGCTACCACATGATGGAGCCAGAGTATTAACATTTCAAATGCTATACATAAAACATCAAAAACAATCAAAATCAAAAAAGGTATGGTACTCAGTCAGATCTTGTACTTGAATAAAAGTAGAAGTGTACTTGAGTAAAAGTAGAAGTACTCAGATATTGTACTTGAGTAAAAGTAGAAGTACTCAGACCTTGTACTTGAATAAAAGTAGAAGTAGGCCTACTCAGATATTGTACTTGAGTAAAAGTAGAAATACCAGAGTGTAGGAATACTCTGTTACAGTAAAAGTCCTGCATTCAAAATGTTCCTCAAGTAAAAGTAGAAAAGTATTATCATCAAAATATAGTTAAAGGTCCCATGTCATGCTTTTCCAGTTATTACCCGTCCCCTTGTGTGTTATGAAGGTTTTTATGCATGTAAACGGTGTGCAGAGTCAAAACCCTCAAAGTACACCCTGTAGCGAGTACAACTCTAACACTCTAACCTCCCCAAAACGACTCGTTGGAGATACGTCATTGTCCAACCTGATCTCACCAGAATGCGTGACTCCACCACGACTCCTTAACACCGCATTGCGTGGTGGACTCACGAACTTTGTTACATTTACGTGTCTGCACCACGCAAACAACCCCAATGTAAAGTGAATGAGGCTCTTTTGTCGTGGTGCATACACGCATTTCTACAACGTCCTGCAGTGAGCTTTTATTCTATAAAACGTTTTTAAAATCTACTTTATAGCTTGTAGAAACTCACGGGAGGCTTCTTTTATTTTATTTGTATTCATAATAATTTGTATTTTTCGTCAGAATGTATTATGGTGCATTAGTTACGATTTTTTGTTCTCAAAAAACAGTGCATTGTGTGTAATACAACTGTGATTTTTATTAAATTAGTTAGTTTTTAAGGAAGGCCAGAGCTTCAGCTGTGTCCAATAGATTGTTCCCTTTTAGTTAACGTTTTTTAAAAGAACATTATATTCCGATTTTATCCTGTCCCCTTTATTGTATTACGGAGAGCAATGTGAGCGTCCATTCCCATTGGATAACGGAGGGTTTTACACCCGGAAGTGAGTATTCTCCTTAATGTCGATTGATTTTACAGTGATATCTGCACTACTCATCAACTCAAAAACACCAGATTATCCTTGTTGATTACACAACATTGATTGGTTTAAATTGTGTACAATGCTTTTGTAATTGTCCCCTTCGGATCACATCACTCCTGTTCTGAAGTCTTTACACTGGCTTCCTGTGTGTCAAAGAATAGATTTCAAAATACTGCTGCTGGTTTATAAAGCACTGAATGGTTTAGGCCCAAAATACATTTCTGACCTCCTGCTAAATTATGAACCATCCAGATCTCTCAGGTCTTCAGGGACTGGTCAGCTTTCTGTCCCCAGAGTCAGAACTAAACATGGTAAAGCAGCGTTCAGTTATTATGCTCCAAATATCTGGAACAAACTCCCAGAAACCTGCAGGTCCGCTGCAACTCTGACTACTTTTAAATCCAGGCTGAAGACTTTTCTTTTTGTCGCTGCTTTTAATTGAACTATTCATATCTTAGACTGCACTGTAACTTTTATCCATGTATTTTTTCTTTTAATGTTTATTGTATTAGCTTTTCTTTTTAATGACTGATTTTAAATGCCATTTTCTTAATCTCTTTCATTTTTTGTAAAGCACTTTGAATTGCCTTGTGTTGAAAAGTGCTATATAAATAAACTTGCCTTGCCTTCGATTCGGAGAAACAAATATTTGTTCAGTTTAGGATGGCCGAAGACACTACACTACCCAGAATCCTCAGCTATTGTTCCGCGTTGCCTCAAGCTCTGTGATTGGTTGACCTCCAACTGCATTCCATATGAAAAAAACGTTTCGTAAAAGATAAATCATACTTTATTCAGCAGTGCTTGCTTTACTCTTTGAAAGTCATCACATGAATGCATTGTAATAAATGGGTTGGCTGCATTAAATATTACACATCTGTCGTAGTTCTTTATTTATCTACAGAGATCGGGCTCAAAATAGACCGGAAACTATTCTTTTACCGTTCTGTTTTAATTTCACAATAAAGTTAGTAGTAATAATTTGTTTTGATATTATTGTTTTTTATTAACTACTAGACCGCTGGGTCATGTTAAGACCATCTTTTCTGTGTTGCTGTGGGGTTTTTCCATCGCTTTTGTGTTACAAATATCAAAACAATAACAGAATATATCCGTCGTAAACTAAACCAGAAACAGCAGTATATTTTGTTAACACTGTAAACTTGACAGCTTTTTAACCCAAACCACCTACTGGTTAAAGCACGTTATTACACGTTTAGAGTAATATTGAAATCTTGAAAAGGGATGTCCAAAATAGCAATTATATACAGTTTTTAATTAACTATTTGTAGAGAATAACGAGTAATGTATATACTTTATAGGAATCTGCAGATACATATTTAGTCTTCTCAAGCACCAACAATCATTACATTACATTCCATTGCATTTAGCTGACGCTTTTATCCAAAGCGACCAACAAAATACAAGCTTGAAGAAAACAGAATCATATAAGTACATCAGGTTTCATAGAGCCAAAACATTTCAAGTGCTACTCAACTGGCTTTAGATAAGCCAGTCCTCCAATCAAATATCTCTCCTGATTGTTGGCACTTGACAATCACCTTCCCTGAATTTTACTCAGGTGTAACTAAAGTCTGCTTTAAGGGTTGTTTATATTTCACATCATTAATCAGAATCTGTAAAGTGACTAAAATAAATGTAGTGGAGTAAAAATACCAGGTTAACCTTAAAGAAAGCCCTCAGGATTATAAAAGCGTCCCATCACCCCAGCCACAAACTGTTCTGTCTGCTGCCATCTGGCACAACAGCCGCATTCTAGGAGAGGATGTGGCTGTTGTGGAGGACTACAAGTACCTGGGAGTGCACTTATGGGCTGAACTGGAGGATCAACACTGACGCTGTGTACAAGAAGGGATGAGCAGACTCTATTTTCTGAGGAAGCTGAGATCCTCACGTGTGCAGCAAGATGCTGGAGATCTCTGTTGTGGCCAGTGCACTCTACTTTGCTGCGGACTGCTGGGGGGGGGGGGGGGGGGGGGGGGGGGCAGCATCAGAGCCGGTGACACCAGCAGGATCAATAAACTGATCAGGAAAGCTGGGTCTGTCATCGGCATCAAGCTGGACCCCTTTGAAGCTGTGGTGGAGAGGAGGACACTGAACAGGCTGTTGTCCATCATGGATAACCCCACCCATCCTCTCCACCTGCAGCTGGACAGTCAATGGAGCTCCTTCTCCAACAGACTGCTGACAAGGACCGATACAGGAACACATTCCTGCCACTGCAATAACTCTGTAATAAATCACCTCTGGCTGGAAGAGAACTCTCTGCTCCATAGTTTCTCTTGTAATACAACCTCGCTGTACATTTTACACATATATAATCTGTTCAATATTTGATATTCCATATTCCATTGTCATATATTTTTGAATATGTATATTTGCATATATAATATCTACATGTATATTTTCTATTTCAACACGTATATTTTCTATTTTATTTTATTTCTATTCTAGTTTATTTATTTTATTGTAAAATGCCTTGTCTTTTATGCTGCTGCAACAAAAACAATTTCCCAAATTGGGATCAATAAAGTATTATTTTATCTTATCTTACATCCGGACTAAAACCACCAGACTCAGGGAGTTTCATCCCACAGGCCATAAGACTATTAAACACCTGAACTTTGAAATAACATCCTTAGCATTAATCTGGCTGCTACTCAGAAATAATTTGTCTAATATATCATGTTCCAATCACTTGTATAGAGACTCTTATTGCACTATTTCACTTTTTACTATTTTTCTTTTTGTATTGACTTGCACTATCTTTTCTGTGTATCTGTTTTATTGTGTTGCACTGTTGGAGGAGCCTGTGACCTAAAGGGGGGGGGGGGGGGGGGGTAGGAGACGTTCGATTCCTGTTTTGAATAGTGTGCCGTCGATGGGTTTCATTCGTTTCATTCCATTTCAAAATGCTGTTTGTCGCTCAGCGTAAACTTCGCGCACTGCCACTCCAACATCCAATCACAGA